GCGATTCTATTGAACGGAACGTGAAAATAGAGACACCAGCCACCATAGTCCAATGTTTACCGGGAGCCAGAGCGCCTGATATCTTGGCAAATTTAAGTGCTGGCTAATGCTAAACGTAAATTCAGTAAGGATGTTATTCACACCGGCGCTAATGATGTTCAACTTCTCCAGTCGGAGATCACTAAAAATAACATTAAAGAGGTGTGTGAACTTGCTAGCATGATGTCAGACAACCACACGCCAGCTACAGGTGGAGAGGAGAGAGAGTCATAGAGTCAATCAAGTGGATGGGGATTATTAGGAGGCCATGATTGGCAAGAGCCAGTGGAGGGAATTTGGCCAGGACACCGGGGTTACACCCCTACTCTTTATGGGAAGTGCCATGGTATTTTTAATGACCACAGAGAGTCAGGACCTCGGTTTAACGTCTCATCCGAAAGATGGTGCTTTTTGACAGTATAGTGTCCCCGTCACTATACTGGGACATTAGGACCCACACAGACCACAGGGTGAGCACTCCCTGCCAGCCTCACTAACACCCCTTCCAGCAGCAACCTAGTTTTCCCAGGAGGTCTCCCATCCAGGTACTGACCAGGCTCAACCCTGCTTAGCTTCAGTGGGCAACCAGTCTTGGGCTGCAGGGTGATATGGCTGTGGCCCTTGGGAGATATCATCAGGAAACACTGTGTTAGCTTTCACTGATATGCTGATGATACTCAGCTCTATATTTCTTTGCTGCCCGGCGAAACATACCGATTTGAAAAACTAACGGAATGCATAGTCGATATAAAAACTTGGATGAGGAGTAATTTCTTACTGCTAAATTCTGAAAAAAACAGAGGTGTTAATTATAGGACCTAAAAACTCTGCATGTAATAACCTAGAACACTGTCTAAGACTCGATGGCTGCTCTGTCGATTCTTCGTCATCAGTTAGGAACCTAAGTGTGCTATTTGATCGCAATCTTTCCTTTGTAGTGGTTGAACTAGGTATTGCAGTCCAAATTCAAAATATAGGAGAGGGTTTTTTTCACCCGGCCCCTCCTTCTCAGACTTGACGCACACGCAGGTTGCCAGATTGACGACACCAACAGGAACGAGCGAACTTGACATTGAATGAAATGAAATACGGTGTGTTTTCCGCTAACTGGCAACCCGGGGTGCCAAAATACAATTGGGTAAACTGGCAGTGGGTGGGTTTCACAAGCCAAAACAGAGATCGACATTCCACCCGGAATACACATTTTCAAAGGAGAATAACTGACTGTAGCATTGTTTTTCAGATAAACAAGTATGTTAACTTAGTATGTTTCTTAAATATCGGAAAACATATTTATGGTATTTTTATGCTTTAGTAGAGTCAAAAACTTATATACAGCACCTTTAAATTTGCTTTATGGAACCAAATCATTTGACAATGAGACAAACTAACTGAAATAAGCCTGGCTTATTTGGTAGACTTGTTTTATGAAACAGGCCTCGGGGCATTAAAAGTGATCATATTTTCTCCATTGCATCATATTGCATCAATTCACATTGTTGAATCGAATCGAAATCGGATCGCACTGCATTGTAACAGAGGTGAATAGTATCGCTTCGGTAGCTGCTTCATATGTATCTTTAATGTATCTTTAATCTGTCATATCGTTGACTATGCATCGAGTCATGAGATACACATCCCTAATATATATATATAAAACATTACAATATAACATTTCTGTAATCTATATAACCTACCAGTCAACAGTTTTTGAACAGTAAGATTTTTAATGTTTTATAAAGAAGTTCACGAAGCCTGCATTTATTCGATCCAAAGTACAGCAAAAGCAGTAATGTTGTGAAATATTTTTACTATTTTAAATAACTGTTTTCTATTTGAATATATTTTAAAATCTAATGTATTTCTGTGATCAAAGCTGAATTTTCAGCATCATTACTCCAGTATTCAGTGTCACATGATCCTTCAGAAATCATTCTAATATGCTGATTTGCTGCTCAAGAAACCTTTTTCAATTATTATCGATATTCAAAACAGTTGAGTAAATTTTTTTCAGGATTGTTTGATGAATAGAAGGATCCAAAGATCAGCATTTATGTGAAATAAAAAGCTTTTGTAACGTTATACACTATATCATTCAAAAGCTTGCTTAGTATAATTTTTATTTTTCGGAAAATAAATGATAGAAATTAATACTTTTATTTAGAAAGGATTCTTTCAATTGATCAAAAGTGATGATAAAGACATTTCTAATGTTACAAAAGATTTCTATTTCAGATAAATGCTGTTCTTCTTTCTATTCATCAAAGAAACCTGAAAAAAATCTACTAGCTGTTTTCAACATCATCATAATAATAAATGTTTTTTTTGAGCAGCAAATCAGAATATCAGATATTAATGATTTCTGAAGGATCGTGTGACTGGAGTAATGATGCTAAAAATTTAGCTTTGAAATCACAATAAATTACATTTTAAAATATATTCAAATAGAAAACAGCTATTTTAAATAGTAAAAATATTTCACAATTTTACTGTTTTGCTGTACTTTGGATCAAATAAATGCAGGCTTGGTGAACAGAAGAGACTTCTTTATAAAACATGAACAATTTTACTGTTCAAAAACTTTTGACTGGTACACTACCAGGCAACTTAATTTTTTCTCTAATTTCTAGCTTTGAATTGGCTTAGAAATCAGATAACTGCTGGACAATAATCAATAATAATGATTTGTTAATGTTTATATACTACAAACACTTTATCACATAATAAGGCAGCATAGTTTCTATACTGTAATAAATGCTTTGTCAATTAGCACTGCATTGTTCATATACTTTATTTATTACCTGGAGATGAGTTAACAAATACAAATAAACCATATTGTCGCAATCGTATGTTTAATGTCTTCATGTTTCCAAACGTTTCTGTTTTTCTGTGAAAACAACTGTTTTCATACAGTGATAGCTGGATGCTTTTGTCCATATTAGGGATTTCCTGGTACGACTTTCTGGGCGAGAGCGCCTTCGGCTTTGAGTATGAATGAAACACACTGCACGGTGTGTTTAGCGCTCCGCGATGTTCATCTCGCTTTATTCTGCATCCGAATAAAACATCAGGTAATGCGCAGACTATCCTGTCTCTTTGAATTTAAATCTATATTTATTCACACCGGCTCTTGAAAGCCTCTATGCGAACACACTTTCCCCGAAAAAGTGCGGGGGACGAATGTACATGATATTAAAAGTGTGTGTGTGGGGTGGGGTGGGGGGTGGGAGAAACAACATATCAAACAAACATAAGAGTAAACCAGTTACTGATGCAGATGGACAGTCAGTCATGTGTGGGGTGAAATATAGTTTGTTAGGCACTTAAAAGCTTTGAGAAATTTAAAACAGAATACCACAAAGCAAACTTAATACTAATGGCTTTCAGATACAGCTACAATTATAAAGTTATTTTTTACTGATGCAAATACAATCAGTAGACAATAAAAGTTGCAGATAAAATGTAAGAAGTAAAAATCATGTTTTAATACAGAGGTTACATTTACTCTATGATTACTCAAAGCAAAGTAAAAGTGAAAACTAATAAGAGGGACCTCTCTCCTTATTGACTTACAAGTAGGGATGGGTAAAAGGTTTTAATAGTATTACTACTCTTACAATGCTGCTTACACAGTATACTTTTACAGTATTCTTATCAGTTCTTTAAAAAATTAAAAACAAAATTAACATGACTTTGTGATCTGACAATGTAAAATAAATAATTCATAGCAAAGGAAATGCACCAGTGTGAAGGCACTTTTAGTGTTTAAGACTTGTGTATAGTTTTAACACTTTAAAAAATAACTATAATACTAAGCTAACCAAGCAAAATGTCATCAAACAATCTTTTAAGTCAGTAATGCAATAAGAACAAATAAAAAAGTACAAACAAAATAAAAACAATACAATAAAACAAACATACAAATGAAGTAAACAATGCTTTAAGTTTTTCAGTAAGGTCCAACAACAGCATTCAGGTAAATAACAAGAAACTGAATGATTGAATCAAATGTAAAATCAGCAAAATCATGTGTAATTCAGCTTCTTGATCAGTTTGAGTTCTGGTCACGTTATCACGGTCTGATTCACTCTGAGATCTACGATGTTATGTTTGGACTTTAAGAGAAGAACAAAAGCTCTGTGAAGGAAAGGTAGACGGAATGCTGCACGATAATCACTTTACCTCAAATATCCTCTTTTCATTATCATTGGAAGCCCAACTCAAATATCGCAGATAAAATTAGATTAATCGCACAGACGTAAAGAGATCTCTCTTCTGCACTGTGAATAGCAAAGATGCATAATAATGTCTTCATATTATATAGAGACACCATTCACAAGATAATGTTTATGTAACAATAATAAATGGTCATTTTATTAAATAAAGTGTATTTTCTTAATTTCTCCAGTACCCAGAGCAGATTCTACCTGGTTCTGGAACCCATCCCTACTTACGAGCAAAGGAGGATCGGTTGCAATGCTACAGTACATCTTGCATCTGGATTTTCTAAATACATCATAAATGGAAGAATATCTACTTGATTTAAAAACAACAAACAATGAAGAACAGGATAAAAATAACTGTCAGTTCAAAAGTTACAGATTCTTCTTCAGCTTCCAGAATAAAATGTAAAAATGTTTATAAAAAAACGACTTTCCTTCATAAAATGTGTAAACAAACTACAAGTGATGAATGAAACTCATAAAACACAATGATAATTAAAATCATGAAGTAAAATGACAAGAATAAAGCTTTCAGATATTGTTCTTTGGGGAGCAACTCCATCTTTGAGTTGATCTGAATCTGACAGATGAAGCTGTAAGGTTTCTCTCCAGTGTGGATCCTCTGGAGCCGCTTCAGATCTTCAGCTGTAATAAAAGTCTTCTCACACTCAAAGCACATATGATCTCTCACACCAGTGTGTATCTTCTGATTAACTTTTAAACTCTGCAGATGTGAAAAACTTTCCACACAAATAACATGAATGTGTTTCTCCTTTGAATGAACTTTCAGGTGATACTTCAGAGGCTGAAGCCCACAGAAATGTTACAGTTGAAACTGTGCTGGTCTTGAAGATGAACTTTGTTCACTGTGAGTTTAGATGATGTTTCTTTGTTAGGACAGATTTATACAGAACAGATTTTATTTCTAGATGCATTATTGTGTCACGTTTGGGGAGGACGCGACGTCACACCTGAAAGTGCTGGATCTGAAGATGATCTACTGACTGTGAATCTTTTTGTTATGCCTGCATAGATTAGATGAATGAGTGAAACTCTTCCCGCATACAGTGCAGCGATACGGTTTCTCTCCAGTGTGGATGCTCTCGTGTGATTTCAGACTTGCTAACTGACTGAATCTCTTGTCGCAGTGTGAACACTTGTAAGGTTTCTCTCCAGTGTGGATCCTCTCGTGCCGTTTCAATTGTTGAGCTGTAATAAAAGTCTTCTCACACTCAAAGCACATATATTCTCTCACACCAGTGTGTATCTTCTGATGTACTTTTAAACTGTGCAGATGTGAAAAACTCTTTCCACACAAAGAACATGAATGTGGTTTCTCCTTCGTATGAACTTTCAGGTGATCCTTCAGGCATGAAGCCCTCAAAAATGTTTTTCCACATTGATCACATTCATGCAGTTTCTCTCCAGTGTGGATGATCATGTGTCTCTTAAGGTGTGATGATTGTCTGAAACTCTTCTCACACTGATCACATGTGTATGGTTTCTCTCCAGTGTGGATCCTCATGTGAATCTTACGTTTCTGTTTGCATTTCAAACTCTTTCCACACTGAGTGCAGGTGAAAGATTTCTTGGCTCTTCTTTTCTTTAAATCTTTCTCTTTGGTTTGAGAGCGACTCAAAGGTTTTTCTCCAGTTTTGACGTGATGTTTCTCCTCTTCATTCAGTTCTTCATGCTCCTCGTTTTCTTCAATCAACTCTGAATTAAAGTAAAAAACATATAACTTTCAGCAAATTACAGAGAGAAATGTGAAAAGAAGACATAAAAGTGAACCCTGATATAACAGTGCGGAGTAGACAATTGCTAAACAAAATATTTTGATCATTTTTATAAATGATATGTCCCTGAATCTTTTCTGGAGTGAGGTACATTGTTATTGTACATTGTTCTTCCAGTTATACTTAATAATAATAATAATTAAACATTTTAAAACATTAGACACAAAACCCATGTTTTTATAGAGAGAACCCTTACTATTTGCTGCTTCAACTATATTATTGCACAGCTCTATATATCTTTCTTATCACGACAAATCAAAATCTGACAAACTGTTTGATGCTTTACAACCTTAATGTTCATCGTCACTGAAGAATCAAGAATAAACACCAACCTGTTTGTTCTTCAGTGTGTTTCATTCTGCAGGGTTCTGGATCTCTCATGTTCTCTCTGTCCTTCAATAAACTCTGTCTCTGCAGATTTCACTTCTTCCTGATGCTTTGATGCTCGTCTTCACTTGTAGACTGATGGGAATATTCCAGCATTTATTGCTGAACTGCAGTGGGAGGAGCTTCACTGAAGGTGTGATTGTTGTGGGAGGAGCTTCACTGAAGGTATGGTTTGTTGTGGGAGGAGCTTCACTGAAGGTGATACTGTTGTGGGAGGAGCTTCAGTGAAGGTGTGATTGTTGTGGGAGGAGCTTCAGTGAAGGTGTGATTGTTGTGGGAGGATATGCAATGTAAACAGCGTTGTGAACTGAGAGGGGATCCATGTTAACTTAATGCACTCCTGACTAATGGTGCAATAACTTTATAACTATTATTAACACACAAGTAGTTCTTTAACGTGGCAAATAACCCAGCACACAACAATTTATGCAACTCAAACTATTTGTAATTTGAGCTGCTAGCTAATAATCAGACAGCCTAACAATCATTAAAGGATAGTTCACCCAAAAATGAAATTATGTTCTTATGTTGAACATAAAATACGATATTTTGAACATTGCTGGTAAATAATCAAACAGTTCCCATTGGTTCCCACTGACTTCCATAGTAGGAAAATAAATACTATGGAAGTCAATGGGAACCGTTTGATTACCAGCAATCTGACTAGAGCTTTTGCTACAAAATTATGTGAAAATCACCCTGTTCACTCATTCACAGAAAACAATATATTGATTTATCTTTTGTGAGACATGATTGTGTTAGAAAGGCTGTATGTGAAGGAGAGACAATGGCCATGAATATCTCGTGATTCACACCTGAGAGACAAATGGGCCATCATCATTCAGTGGTTTAGTGCAGATATAGCACACCCGCCGTCCGACTGGTGGTGCTGCAGTAAGTTGTCTGTTTAAATAAACAAAGAGAGACACAGTTGTGCTGCTTTCAGTCATGGAGTCGCTCTTGTCATGCTTTATTACAATAATTCAAAGATTGTATAATTAAATCACAATGTCTTATGTCACCTTACCTGTGACTCACTTAAACCAAACACTAATAAACATGTGTTGCATAACTCTTGTAAGAGTTTTCTTACACTCAATCTGTATTTCTGTCATCTAACTCAATACCTTTTTCCTTTACATCACAATATACTACAGTCTCTCTCGTATGTGCAAATGACCACTGTACCACTGTATAATCAACCACTGTATAACTGAATAGTTGCGCGAACCATTGGTTACACAATATGAACATTTAAACTGAATTACTATATGCAGTGAATATACTTAATCAAAAGAAAGATCATTAAAACATTATAATATTCAAACATCAACAGTATATACTATTAAAAAATTATATAGGCTATATATATATATATATATATACACACATACATAGAGATCTTAAA